CTCATTTCTACGGTATAAAAAATGGTTAATAAGTAGTTCCGAAGCTAAACTCCTCTGTCTAGATCGGTACAGATTACCACGCCATCTGCAAATCTCGTCGGATTATCAGGCAGTACCCGCCACGGAGGGAACAAAGTACCAATTTACCTTTCCTTGCTCTTAATTATTTTTCGCGAACGCCCGAGCTCACACACGAGCGCAATCGCCGCTACCATCTTTTATTATGAACAGACACCGAGTTACTTGTTGCACCTGTTTGCCTCTTAATCGGCTACTTCCTCTATCGTCGCCTTTTCTCGCGTACACAAAGTACTATAGTACTCGACCAGCTTTAATCTACGTACCGCCGGCCGTCTCGGTGCACACCGTAGAAAACGTTTTAAGCTCTATACTTTATAACGTTCAACGAGATAACAGATGAAATACTTTGTCTCTATTAGAGTTAATTAAGTACCTTCGAGGTATTAATATAATTAGTGGATTATATTTAACAAATACTGTCCTATTATAAAGTGATTAAGAATATAGCCGCTAAGACGGAGTTTTCACAAGAATTCAACTGACTTGAAAGCATATTTTTTATTTACATTTGATATCAAAAAGCATCTGCTAGTTGATTTAAAATGGCGAATGTAGGTACTACTTCTTTACAATGCGTAAGGCTGTACTTCAAAATTGCCGCATTTCTTTTGCTTTTGGCAATAGAGTTGATACCGTATCATCGAAAAAAAAACGGTGTCAGCGATAGCTATGAAATGAAGAAAATAGATTAGCTGCAGATCTACTTATGATGCTGTGATGAATAAACTGTAAATAGAAGATCCAAGAAGTTACAAAAAAAAATTAAGGGTGGATGCGTAACGATTTAATTTTTTGTTGGAAAAAGTTGCACCCAGAATTAGGAAACAAAATACATTAATGCGTAACACTATTTCTCCTCGACTTAAGCTGAAAATTACTCTTTTTTGCTAATTTTGTTTATCGGATTTTGTGTGTTCTATACACTCATATTTTTTATAAATATTAACAAGCCAAACCAAACCACCTACTTGCCGCCAACTCAAAAATATCACTTGATCCCCAAAAGTTAAAATAGTAGTCAAATGAAACATGAATCAAGTTATTTGAACAACTGATATGATATATCGAGTTTAAATATCTTAAATTAGCAAGCATAATTATTGGTGAACATCAAAATTATTTTAAATCCCTTTAAAAATGTTTATCATATTGTTTATTTTTACATTTGCTTTAATGCTAGTGATACTAGGGTTTAAATACAAGTTTTGTCCAACGAGTCGGGAAAATGATAGAAAATACAAAGTACTTATGAGTTAGAACGTCAGGCAAAACAGCCACTGTCATGGTCGTCCACCTCTCATTGGTCAGACTTCATTCATAAGGCGCACGTAATTATAATAAAATAAAGAAAAAATCACATTTACGAGTCCACCAAAAACGAAAAAATTGACCAGATAGATATAGGTATTTTCGAACATTGTCGGTTTAGTATGTGACATTGTAATAATTAAAATATTCAACAAAATTAAGTTGTTTTTACCGTTAGATTTTCGAGACATCATTCAAATTCTAGCCGGACCACCCCGAACCCATTTGTGACGATCAACACACTGAAGGAAGCTATAGGAACTGCCATCAAGGCCAAGCAGCAAGAGACGTGGCAACACCGTGAGGACTGCGCTACAGCTCGAAGACTATAGCCAGTGGTAGATAGCAAAAAGACAAAACAACTACTGGTGGGTTCATACAGCCAAATAAAATAAAATAAGAATAAAATAAAATAAGAAATAAGGAATTCTTATTTGTGTGCGTTCATACAGTCAAATAAAATAAAATAAGAAATATATATTTGCTCATGCGCAGTACGATGAGGCTGGATAAAAGTTAACTTTTACGATTGTTTATAGTAATTTTACTATTTATAGTATATTTATTTATTCGTTGCCTACTATATTATACATTTTACTTATGTGAAATTATAAAATAAATTAAATCCAAACTGAAAATATTTGTAGGTTAGAATTAAGCGTGCGCAAAGCCGTTTTCACATAAAATAAAACAAGAAGTTAAAAGATAAAGACTTCTTATTTTATTTGTTATTTTATTTGGCTGTATGAACGCATGTACGGTATCCCATATAACCAACTTTCTTATTTTATTTTATTTTATTCTTATTTTATTTTATTTGGCTGTATGAACCCACCATACTACTCGCAACCAAACCAAACACAAAAAGGACCTAGTACGCATAATTGTAGATGTCGTCACTGGAAACTGCCCCACGGGGGTAAATCTCGTGAGATGGAAAGTTTCCAACGACGACTACTGCAGAGAATGCGGAGAGGAAGAAGAAAACATAGAGCACCTGCTGTACCACTGTCCTGCACTGGAATACCGACGCTTTAAAACTTTAGGGTAAGGTTTTTTGGAGGGACTAGAGGAAGCAGCAGAAGACAATATCAGCGACATCGGAAACTTTGCAAAGAGCTTGAAGTGCTTTAACGCAAAGAAAGAATGAGAAAAAGGTTTGGTACAATAATACAGGGGTATCGCAATAGGTCCAATGCCTCCGAGTGGGGGACCAAACATGATCCCAAACCCCAGCAACCTGACCTAACCCCGAACCCCTTAAAAATCTTAACATTTACGGGTACATCTGGACGTATAGGAACGTTTGGAACTCTAGCGCTTGATGAACATAAAAACTAATGTATATCTTATTAAAATATGAATCATATTGTTTATTTTAGCGCTAGTGAATTTGAGAATGTATTTCCAATCAAATGAGATAGATAATCAAAATAGCCAACAATTTCAATCATGTTGGATCGATCGCTCCATACATCTTGATACAGACTTGACACCTTTATGTAAAATTGTAACTTAGACATGGCCCACTTCGGTCAGTAGTTGCACAAGCACGAGTACCTACTATGAGAATAGAGAAAAAATAGTGGGTGTCGCCTCGATATTCGTATAATTTAAACAAAAGTATCCGCTGCGAGTGCCATGGGAAATAGGTCTGAGGACTTTTTCATTGTAAATGTCGTGATAAATCAACTTTATACGGCGTTAGACACATTGCGGATATTATTGTAATTGTTGATGTATGACAATAATATGTTTCTTTCAATTTATATTGACTTATTTGATTTAATGAACAATGAGCTGTTATTTCGATTTTGTTATTATAAGAGATCTAGTTCATGTTATAGTCGATTGATTGGAACTCAATATCTGCAACATTGTTTTTAAGTATTTCTTAAATTACCTTTATGTTTTTTATGACCTAAGTCAGAAAATGATTGAATTTTACAAATTGAGTTTTTCCGATATTTCTGTTATTGGACGCTATAAATTTATTTGCTTATGTAGGGTTATCCAAAATTACAATATTATCCCTGATTTTCAAAATTGGTTAACACTATAAAATTGAAATTCATTATATGAATGTTACTAATTAATTTTCTTTTTTAGGTATAAAGATTATTTGGATATGTTATCTGCAGGGTGTTCTTACCTTGGTGATGAATTTTTTTAAATTATTTTTTATTATTTAAATAAGTTTTCTATAATAATGAGACACTTTTAAACCATATGGAAAATAAATAGATTTAATTTGTAGATATGCTATTTTAATTATTGAATGGTTATTCCAAAATAAATGAAAAATGTAGCTTAGGTTTCGTACTTGTAATAAATTTTGATAATAAATGGGCGAATATCTTAGCTCGCAGAAGAGTAAACAAAAACAATAAATAGAATAACTCATAGAATACCTTATAATCTCAAGATATTATGCACCAAACCTTTAACTTTAGCTCCTAGATCCGCAACCATTAGTACCTACGGGTGGGGACCAACCCTAACCTAACCTTGTTATGAATGCCGAGACGAATATAAGCCATAGTTACGTTGGTATTCCTTTTCCAACACTTATTATATTGAAAAATAGTGTTATTTTTAAGTTGAAAACATGTAGAGTTCACAAATAACAAAGCCAAAGTTTGAAAATTGACAAGAAGAAAGTGAAAATCCAAAAAAAAGTCCGTCAACGAATTGACATATTTTGCTACAATGTTTCATGGAACCAATGACTAAAGAATCCAAGGACAAATAACACCCGAGATCAAATTGTGCCGATGTCGCCAAACAGTGCCGTGGCACATATTTTTCTTAACCTAGCTGTTTGTTGAGATATTTATATGTTTTGATAAATGTTTTGACAACGCCTATGGTGTATCTGGTGGTATCATACTAATTAATTACGAAATAATCGTATTAAAATGTTAACAAAAGGTACAAACCTAGTATCGACGTATAGTACACGTCAAGTACATATAATATCAGAAAAATAATTATTGAATTCGATAAGAAAACTAAGAAAACGCTAAAAAGGTGGAGCGGACTGTTTATTTACCTATGAAACGTAACTCCTGACTTTCTTATCGCTGCTGCTTTTACACTTGAAAGTTGAATAACTAATCACCATTGTAATAAAGTTTATATAAAGTTCACTACACACAAACTATTAGAAATCGCTAAAATTGTCGATGGTGACCAGATGATGACTCATTGTTTGCCATCAAACGAATGGCGTCTAAGGTCACAAATTCTCCTGCAGCCCGTATATGGGCGTTATATGCCCTTATATTCTTTAGTCATTGCATGGAACCAATCAGTAATCCTAATACATATAAACATAACCCTAATAATCTATTGCCAACTATTTCAATCATTGTGGAATATTTCTTAGCAGTAAGTGTCCACCGGATTTAGTCGTATGTAATATATCGTGTAGTAAAATATTATTTATAATATATTAATCAGTATAAAATTATTGAATGAAGATTTCCATAATTTAGAATTTATCTGATTATGACTATTTTAAATATTGTGTAGAGAGCGGATTGAAGTTTCAGTACTGAAAGATGAGAATTAAATGATTTTGCTAATACTTTTTGTTTGTTTTCAGAATGACCAATCTAGTGATAGTTCCTCTCCATTGGGATGGCCTCTGTGTCTGGGAAGTTCCGGAATAGTAGTACATCTTTCCCATTTGGATCCATCTCTGCTACGGAACCGTGAATGTTATCTATGTGTTCGGACACGCAGTTTGCCAGGACTTGAGGTACGAGGTTGACAATGTTATGAAGCTAACTTGCAAATTGAGTAGAATCTTTTCCTCTGTTTCTCTTAATCATCTTTGCTTCGAGTCTCTAAAATAATGCAAGTAAATTTTAAACTACCATTTTCTTAGTTTTGGGAAATTAGTTTCAAAAAATTCTTAATAAATACAAATAAAATTGAATAGTCCAATTGAATTGTATCACAAACATATAAACATAATTAACATACCTATACCGGGTTATGCATCGGTTCAGGAGATCCCTTGTAAATTTTTAGGGTATCATCACTTCTTTATATCAGACTACCTATCAACTTTGTAACTCTTCTGTTAAACCATTTTTAAATTATTTCCTTAAAATTAGGTCCTTAAGATCAGTAATTTGTACAACGTCAAAAACACTCGGGCCACCCATCACCCATAATACAAAGAAAACAAGGTATAATCGATAGCGGTTCCAATTTCATTCAGTTTGCGCATATCATCTGTGGCGTAACTACGCCAAACAAAAAAATCCATATTGTTCAATTGCTACTAATAAAATAAGACCTAAAATTGGGAAGAATTAGGACCTAACCTAACCTTAAAAGTTATGTCAAATCATTGAGTTTGACATTTGAAAAGTTATTTTCACAATCATTATGTGTCATCAGTTGCCGACCAATGGTGTCGATATCACCTGTGACGTAGAGACCAACCTGCGCGATATCATACCTTGTTTTCTTTGTATCATGCGGGCCACCAGTAATTTATTAAAATTTATGACATTAAACGTCGTTTTACAAAATATTTGTTGGTTGTTGGTAGCTATTTTCGCAATAGTATCATTCAATCATAGTGACTCTCTCTTCAATTCAATAAAACGTTTTAGACACAAAAAAACGTTTTAGACTTCAATGCTTCAAAAATGTATGAATGTCAGTATCATAAGGTTTAATAAATCACTGGTAGTCGAAGTGTTTTCAACGGCAAAAAAAGCCCGGCCACACTACAAGGTACTTTTATAAGAACCTAATTGGGTAAATAACTAAATTTAATAAAAAATGGCTTAGCGAAAGAGTTTTAAAGAAGATAGTTAGCCTGATTTAGTCTAGTACTTCAATAAGTTCTATTTAAAATTTGCACTAAAATCAATAGAGGAGCCAATAACCGGCACCATTAGGATTATGGGATTTCCTATATGTCCTGAAACAACTTCGGCAGCATATTCTGCAGATAAAATTAAATAAAAAAAGTTTGTATAAATTTATGTCTTAAAATGATTTTACTTATTTTTATCTGGAGAAGAAAAGAAGCTGCCGAAGTTATAATAACCCGGTAAATGTTCAACAGATATTTGGACTAGCATTCAATCTTCTTGGTTGTAGGTAGCATTGATTTGGAAGCTGCAACATCAACTCTACTGGCGCACCATAGCGGAGTTCCAGAATCCGCTCCACTCCATAGATGACATCATGTGTTCGAGTCTGCGGTCAGTGGCGGACCTAGAGGTCGGTTCGGCCGACGACTGTGACAATATCGAACTGCCCGAACTTCTGCAGAACCTCCTGGTATCGGTGGAACATGCCATTGAAAGGGTAAGTACCAAGTACCTTGATTATTATCAATTTTTGCTTAGTCGATTATATAATTCGATTCATAGTAAATAATAATAATAGGAGTAACATAATTTTTGAAATATCTAAACCTTGATGTTTTTACAGTAGAGTTGTTTATTATTTAAAGAAATCAATTATTATAGTTTCAACAACCTTGTTACCATATGCAGTGACCAGAAATCACTTAAAGCTGAAATAAATAATATTAAATCGGATTTAATGGTGGAAGTTCATGAAGATGTTCTTTGTCTCTTTTGACTATTCCATATGTAAGAGATGCCATAACATTAAAACATGTATAACATTAAAACTGTTCTTAAGTATGGAACTACACTAAAAAGCGTCTTAACAAAAACAAGACTGGATAAAAAAAAAGAGAAAGAGTGCATCTATGAGGAACCTGTGAGAGCGGGGATTTGTATATTGGAGAGTTAGTGGGATCGCATATTGGTGTAACAGGCAATAGGCAATACACAACCAGCAACGCAGCAACATGCAATAATTATCGCCCATTTACAATGAAAGATAAAAATATTGACAGGTAAAGATCTAAGTTGTATCGGACACTGAAGCAATGCGATATTGCTTATCCGAAGGCAACATCGCGTTGCTTCTTTAGTATTTTGTCGATAAGCGATAATATTGCGTATTGCTTATTATATGCTGCTCCATTGTTGCTTTCGTTTAATACATCTTCTAAATACGACTTGTCAGATATACCTATAAAAACATACCGAAAGAGATGAAGATGGGTGTGGTAGACCATGTGTACCATGTGTCTAAGCAGCACAACATAGGCGGGTTGTCCATAAGAAATATCATTGGAAAAACTTAATTTAAATAAACTTTTATATCATGTCACAATAGTATCTTAACGTAGCAGCTCAAATATAAAATTTTCCGATAGGTATAGAAACAACTTATCAGACGTACCATTGCGATAAAGAAAAACTAGTACAAGAATTAGTAGTCCCAGATAGAACTCCTGGTCTATAATTCTAAGGATATCGATATGCCACCGATATATGATATGATATAATTATGCCACCTAACTTTTTAGGCGCCACCATGGATTTGGTAATAATTGGTAGGTATACGTGGCCAAATAAAAGTATAAAAATTCTGATGACACTGAGTTATCAGTTTGAAAGAAAATATTTTATTATAGACCGGCAGATTAAATCATATTTTGTAGTACTACATTTTTTTGATTGCAATGGTAGCTTTACTGGCGTCCTCAGTGAACAACTTCACGTTTTACTGCACCAACTCCTATGTCTTGCTCAAGTATATAAGCACACTAGTTTTAGAAATTAGATTACTGATCGTTGTTATAAATAACTCAACTAACTGATTATTAAATCAGTTGATAACGGTGAGTGGTACATCTGATGGAAAAAAATACAAATTTTCTAAATGAAAGATAATATACCAAGATGATATTTTACGTCACAAATCATTATTGTTTACCACTTTCAAGAAATTTCTTCTTTGTTTCAGGTGCCTTTAGACGACCTCATCTTTCCTTGTCCTCAGTGTCTTCAATATCTACCTCTAGAAAGACAGGAAGACGAAATAGTGAATTGCGCTTGTCAGTGCCTTTGCCGGCTGCCAGACAGCCCGGTCGTCAAAAAAGACAGTTCGATCCAGACTAGTCCCATGTTCGAATTTGTCGGCTCCATACCTCATATCGATAGCGATTCTGATGACGATAAGGAATCAACAAAATCAGGTAAGAGAACATTCAATATAATGGTAGAAATTCCAAGATTTTGCTGTTTTTTTGCCTTGTAAAACCATGTCAACCGGATTAGTAAACTATGGTAAGGATGGGTTCCTAAAAATATTGTGTTAGAAATATGATTATATAAACAAAATTGATTTATTTTTGGGAAGATAAGCACGGACCGCTGTCGGTCGCGCAGTGTGATGAGACACTTCAGCACGCTCGTTTCAATGCTGTCTGTGTTTATTAAAGTTTCCTGACATATTTATTGATGAATTGATTAAATGTGTTGAATTGTAGTTTATCGGAAAGGTTCTGTGTTTTTATTATTTAATTGCTAAAATCAGAAGTGGGATAGAGCTTACACCACAATAAGCTTTTGAGTGGCATGGTGAAACTTGGAGGATGCATTTGAATAAGATAAGTACACAGTTTCTAATTAGGTTTACAAATGGAAAGTATTGGTTGATGTTTCTGGCTTTGGAAAAGTACGAAAAGTTAATAGTTCAGTTAATCAGTTGAGTATAATAAAGTAAATTTTTAAAGAAAATGAGTCACGGCGTCATGTCGCAAAACTCAGAAGCATTGCCGCATTTAGATTGAGCATTGCAGTGTTTATATTAAGCAGTTGGAACATTTAGCAGTTTTAGAGCCCAAACAGATAGCCTGTATAAAGTTACGGAGGGAAATATTACAATGATTATTATTAAAACAAGTATTTTCTGCATTATTTCGTAGCGGCTTAAGTTTAATTAAGTTTTTATAATCTGAAATTGTCTGAATAAGTTTTAATGATCTGTTTATTACTGGTAAATACACTGGTACAGAATGGTTGGTTTAAAATATTAGCCACACCGTTTAAATTTTAATTCTGAATAAGTTTTTCTAATTGCATAACAAATAACAATACAGGGAAGTTTTTGTCAAGAAAAAAATATTGATCGGTATTTATTCAGGCGAAGTGAGATATTGTCGCTTTTGTTTGCAAGGGCTGCTGTTGTTTTTTACTTATTTCTTGCAGATTAAAATAGTTTTGTTTTGTTGTTTTGGCTAAATTAGTCATTATGTCATACATGACATATTTTGTTATTGGGTCATTCTCAGCAAGCGTTATGTTTTTATTTTATTAAAGTATTAGGAAAATTAAACATTCTAACTAAACTTATTAATTATTACTTGTAAATAGTAATATTATTCGTTACATATACGAATAAATGAATGATCCTGAAGAAAACAGTTGCATTTGTTATGTTTGTTTCTATTTTTCTCAATTTGTTTTATTCAAAATGCAAAAAATTGAGAGTTTATTTTATCTGTGGTTTTATGCAGGGGATTTCAACTAATTAATTTTAAAACGCAAATTATTAATAGATGAGATGCATTACTGAGATGGCACTTATTTTTTGTATATGTATTGAACTAGTTTTGTTTATTAGTCATTGTCTACTTAAGTTTTGGTATGTATTATAAATGCAGAAATATAAAAAAAATGATGATAAAAATATTAATTATAATTAGTTAATGTAGTTATCAGAATACGAATGGCACGTGTTATAAATGAATGTGTTGAAAGCATGGACGCTTTGCACTGTTGTAGTATTTCAGTGTTGAAAGCATGAACGCTTTGCATTGTTGTAGTATTTGAGTGTTGAAAGCATGGACGCTTTGCACTGTTGTAGAGTGTTGAAAGCATGGACGCTTTGCACTGTGGTAGAGTGTTGAAAGCATGGACGCTTTGCACTGTGGTAGAGTGTTGAAAGCATAGACGCTTTGCACTGTTGTAGAGTGTTGAAAGCATGGACGCCTTGCACTGTGGTAGAGTGTTGAAAGCATGGACTCTTTGCACTGTGGTAGAGTGTTGAAAGCATGGACGCTTTGCACTGATGTAGTATTTGGGTGTTGAAAGCATGGACGCTTTGCACTGTTGTTATATTTGACTGTTGAAAGAATAGACGCTTTGCACTGTTGTTTAAATGTTGAAAGAAACATGTAACATATAAGTATGTAACATATAAGATTGAAAAAAATATATTTCTGAGAATGTAATAAATGAGTATTGAAAGTCTGGAAGGTTATGAGTAAATTGATTAGCTAATAGAGTAGTAGCTGGGTTCGTTATAAAGAAACCTCTCTAATTAAGATACCAGTTCCTATAAGAACAACTGACTACTCAGAATATCACCTTTGGTGGATAGCAATGAAGAATTCCTTCCTGATATTCAATAGCCGATTCCGAATAGAATGACTTCGAGAGCGAAGTCCGTGTCAAAATTGGCCGTGTTAGAAATATGATTATATAAACAAAATTGATTTATTTTTGGGAAGATAAGCACGGACCGCTGTCGGTCGCGCAGTGTGATGAGACACTTCAGCACGCTCGTTTCAATGCTGTCTGTGTTTATTAAAGTTTCCTGACGTATTATTTGTGATTTATAGTTGATTAAATGTGTTGAATTGTAGTTTATCGGAAAGGTTCTGTGTTTTTATTATTTAATTGCTAAAAATAGGTAAAATACGGAACAGTTTGATAAATAGTGGACATGTAAAATATTAACGTTTAAATTTCAATATTCGTATTATAGAACTATTATTTCATGTTTGATTTATCTTTTTAATGGAGTTTAATGTAAAAAATAATTTGTAATTGAGCTCTTAAGACAGTTCAATTTTTTTTGCAATAAAAACTCAACCTCAAACAGTTCATTTTTTTTGCAATAAAATTTTAAAAACATTACATAATAATTCACACACAAGAAAAACCAGCCTTTATGCACTGGCTCATTACTTATATCTTAGATCTTATAAACTTCGTGGATAAGTAAACTCGTTTTAGTTTTGTTGAACAAACATTCGCAACAATCAACTTTTTTTTTGTATTTAATTAGAATATTTGGACATCAGAAATACGTACAGTCTCATCTTATTTATTGATATGAATCTCATACGGCTGAATATACACAGGATGAGTCTTAAATAAGTGCAAACATTTTCAGGGTTGATAGATCTCGAGAAAAGAAACATATTTTCTCTTTACTGTTTTTTTTAAATCCCAAAGTCCAAAATAACCGAATAACCGTAATAATATTTTAACTTGAAAATTACAAAAAAAATTGGCTTAAATTTTGAGAACCATTGGATCTTTTCTGTTTTTCTTTTCTTGTAAATTTAATTTACTACCTATGTTACCATATTATCAAGATATTATGTTTTTTAACTAAACTTTTTTTTTTAATTCAAAATTCACTCACAAATTCGACTCACAGGCTCTGTGGTCGAAATATAATACTCTTAAAAATATGTGCACTTATTTAAGACTTACCCTGTATAATAGATAATACTATATACATTTTCCGTGATCTTCCTTTAGTCTATTTTTTTATATTTACATACCGATCTAGACGCTATCTCAACACGCAAGTACCGAAAGTGGGCCTAACAGAGAGAAACTGAAAGATTTTTTTAGGTTAGTTGGTGACTGATTAATTTCTTATGTAAATGAGCTGCAGGCCGGCCGTTGCCGATGGATGCAATCGTTACCATGCTATTAGGTTAGGAGGTTATTTATATAATCTGTTACAAGTATTATACTGCTAATGATACTAATAAATATGTATTTTTATTAGTTACCAATTAGCTCGTTCAAGAACGCCTGTTTTGCACCTATTATTAATGTATTTTATTTTTATAGCTATTGTAAAATACAATCACATAAAATGCATCATAAAGAACAAATGTTTACATATACATATATGGGCGTTATGGGAATATTATTTTCAAAAACTAGTGTAGCAATTAAACGATTTGTCGTAAATATTACTGCTTTAAAATTATTTTATTGCCATACACATTTCTGACAGTTTTCATGTCTTTGCTTATTAGGTCCGCCCTATTTTTTTTTCGAATGTTCTACTATGTACTGTTTCGTCTTACAGTGTCTCCGATTTTTAAAACTATCATCTATTTTTTTGTTTTTTTTTTGGGCAGTATTTTTATTTTGATCAAAATTCTAATTATAAAATAGATTTTTATGTTATCATTTATTACAATTTTAGGTACAATCTTACATCTAATTTAAAAAAATTACCAGAAATTTTAATTAATGTCGTCTCTATACCAGCAGTAAAAAAAAAACTGAAAAAAGGCCACACGCATTCCAACGTCAACGCGACAAGAAATCATATTTTTATCTCGACGCGCATCTCCTCGCTTGACGCTTCAGCAATCTCTTTACTATGTTTGCCTCCATTACAATACACGATCAAATTCAAGTCGCGACGCTTACCTCTTCGCTGTGCCTCTAGCCTCGTCGCTCTACTATGTTTTTACCCTAACAGAGAATACATTTTCCTCCCTACGGATGCCTCGTAGCTACTATAGCTACTATAGACGTACTGTAGGACGTACTACTAGACGTACTACTATAGAGCTACTATAGACGTACTATAGCTACTATAGCTACTATAGACGTACTGTACACTTCTATAAGGGCCATTTCGCACCAACACAGTCCAGTCTAGTCGCGTCCGATTCAGTCTAGTCCAGTCAAATCACTACAGTCCACTGCTTTCACACCAAACGCGTCCGACGTTTGTTGATAACACTTTTTTTAACGTGTTTTCAGCAAAAATACGTAGTTTAACAACAGAACGCTTTGAAAATCGACGATATTCTTAAAGTAATAATTTTACGTCGATTAGAAAAAAGAGGAAGGTAAAGGAGAAATTTATTTTGGATACATCCCATTCAGCAATATATTGTCTGTTCATGTGTTTTGAATGCTTGGAGTTATAGGTATATCGCCTCTCTCTCTCTCTCTCTCTTCATTTCTAACCAAAACAATTAAACTTTCCACATCCATTTGTGTACAAATATCGCAAATGACTGGAATAAAATTTCGACCGAACGAATCACTATCAGTCTTGACGACTGGACTGTACACGACGTGTTTTGTTTGAAAACAACTTTCGATCCCGCATCTGTTTTTCTCATGACTGTCCTAGATTGGA